CGATCAGGGATGCGATGCTGACAAGACATAAAGATTCCCCTTCTTCTTCTACGCCACATTTCTACTATCATATGCGGGATCCTACCTGTCGCTTTACTTCTCCGTTCGCTCCCGTGCCCTGGCATCACTAGTCTCTGCACTGGCTCAGATTACTGCCAACTTCATATTCGGCAACTTCCTGGACTGGAAGCGATTCACTATCAATCAGCGGGCCCGGTTCGCTTACTTCGGAATCATGGCACTATTTGGGGGAACCTGGATTTGGGCAATTGTCATTCAGCGAGAATATGGGTTGAAAGCTCCTGCTTTGGATTGGGTCGACAGCGGTTTCGGTCGTGGATGGGCGCTTTACATCCTCTTGCAGGTTAACTTGTGAGTCCCACCCCACATCTTTTAACCTTGTTGATCACATGTATTGACTGACGGCAGCGCATTGGCATACAACTATGGTTACTGGCTTGCTGGCTACATGGCGCGTGATAACGCTGAGATCATTCGATTTACATCAACAGTTCGAGCCGTTGAAGCGGCTGGAGGCGCGGTGGCGTCAGGTATTAGCTCTACGCATGCTCCTGTAAGTGTTCCTCATCCCTTGGAGAAGTCATGAAACGTGGGGGGCTTTTTCTTCATGTTATTCGTTGATAATAAGCTAATACCAATCGAAGCTTATTGCCGCCGCCAGCGTCAATTTTGGTCTATGGGGTTTAGCTCTTATCCCAACGTATTTCGCCGTTCGATCGATCGACGCGAAGCCGCTGGAGGATGTTGCGGAGGAAGAGTCGAGCAAAAGCGTTTCTATTTGAATTCGGAGAGTTGGAAACATGATCATGTTCAAGAGCGATAGCTCTTGTAGATTGTTGTTATGATACTATAGAGAAGCTGTCAACTTGAACTTGAGTACAAGCTCAAATTCCCAGGCTTTTTGCAAAGTTATATAGAAATAAGATTCTCGGTTTCAGGCAGCTAAAAGCACCTTTCTCGCTTCGACTGCAAATTCTGTGATGTCATTTGCGATTGAGAGGCATTTCGCTACTCAACTGACAAAGTCTGCCATGGCCAGCCCCGCCGACTTCGCAGTATTAGTTCTCGGGTGTAATGCAGCCATAATGATTCCCGCCAGATTGGAGTGGATGCTGTGAGAGCACCTCATCACTCGCAAGTCTTCCGTGATTCCCATGGTAGATACACTAGTCATACCCCTCTTCGGATGGGCTATGCTTGATAAAAACAGTTCAGTGCATAATAACAATATGTACACGACTCTTCCATTGCACGAAAAGTAACATACCTCCTTGAAAGAAAGTAAGATTCTCGCACCACCTACTTATATTTCCAATATCAAATTTGAGATTATGAGACCAGATTGGTACAGACAATTCACTGAGAATGGCTTTGCGGTCATCCCATCGGTAATCCCTTATAATAAAGCTATCGAGTATCAGCAAAAGGCCTTCGCGTGGCTCAAGTCCTTCGACAACGCCGCCTTGGATCTAGCAGATCCCACAACATGGACCCCTGAAAATCTGCCATTCATTTCCGGAATCAACACAGTGAACCATTACGGGGTTGTGCACGAGAAGTTCATGTGGGACATACGCCTGGAACCAGGCGTGATCGATGTCTTCGCCGACGTGTGGAATACCCGCGACCTTATCGTCTCCTTTGATGCCCTGAACATCACACTTCCAAGACGCCAAGGTCATATTCCCAGGAAAAAATGGCCTCATGTCGACCAGAGCCCGTACAGACAAGGCCTAGAGTGCGTTCAAGGCATAGTGAACCTCTCAAAGGCTGGCCCCGAGGACGGCGGTTTGACGGTATACCCGGGAACGCACAAGATCACCGAGTCGTTCTTCAAAGAGCATACCGACAAGTCGGAGTGGACGCGAAAAGACTTTTTCAACTACACGCCTGAGCAGATTGCATGGTTCGAGAAGGAAGGCTATCGGGAGCATAAGGTTGTCGCGGAACCAGGTGATTTGATCATCTGGGATTCGCGACTAATCCACTTCGGGGCCGAGCCAACATCAAAGAGCAATACCATACGGACCATCACATATGTGTCGTATGCTCCTGCATCTTTTGCGACGAAGGCGGCCCTCGAAGCCAAGAAGAAAGCCTTCGACGAGTGGCTGGCTACGACACATTGGCCTCATGACAACATTGTTCCGAGGACAAATCAGCCAACCCTGCCGGACGGGACTGTTGACAATAGAAGAATGGAGCCGTTGGAGAAACCTGAGCTTACTCCAGAGTTGCTGAGGCTGGCGGGGTTTGAGGCATATTAAACATGCAACCCCGCAGCAGTACAAGCTGGGGTAGGCGGAGACGGCGACCACTTTGCCTGGGGGCTTGGGATTTGTACATATGCTTGCCCACTTGATCGAAAATCTTCTGACGATGGTATTGATGATTCGTTCGTCCATCATGTAATAAAGGCTTGATTAGGAACTGAATTCTAGCTGCGGTCGAATGATCTCGGTTGGTGATCGTGTCGGGGCGTAAGTGCTGACTCGCGCGCTAGCCCACGCTCAGCTTTACAAGTGTGTCCACCATGTTTGAAGCAAAAAGTATTAATTCGTACCGGGAACTGAGAGAGATATCCGGTTCATATCGGCCTACCCATGCCGGACTAAGGCAAAGGCTCGTTATCTGTCAGATAGGTAGGTCAACACCACGCCGGCCCGGGTTCCTTGCGCTGCTGATAAACAGCCGGTATCGCGGATACTTCCCGGTCTCGGGACGACTGCGGAGCACCGGGGGCCCACGTCTGACAAACGATTGATTTATTAAGCAATACCCAGTCATTTTCCCACTTTCAGCCTATTAGAGCCCGCAGATTCGCTATCGGAAACCCTCTACCGTGGATACTCTTTGTTAAATTCCAAGCACTAGACTCTCATAGCACTTTGCCGCGGACCACGCTTGGAAATAACCTCAGCACACCTGTTTCCAACTCTTGGCGTTGAACGACCGCGACAAAGACCAGATCATCAAAATGGGAGATCTTGGAAACCGCCAAAGCCCCTTGGCAGGAGACAAGCTCTTGGTATTTCTCTCAGCGCCGGAAGACACAAAATGGACAAGCAGGATCTCTCAGCGCTTCCCCGGCCTCAAAGTCTGCTGGGAGTCCAACTTGAGGCCTGGTGGCGGCTTTCTTCTGCCAGATGAGCTGCCGGATGAGGTGTGGGAAGATGTGACGATTTTCATGGCCTTCAACCCGCCGTCTGCTCATCGCTTGTCCAAGGCTCGCTTCGTGCAGTTGACCTCTGCAGGCGCCGATAGATGGCTCGACCACGATGTCTACAAGGACCCTAAGGTTTCATTTTGCACTACAAATGGCTGCCATCCGTGAGTTTTTGCCGTGCTGTTACTGGTCTCATGCAATACCCAGATCACTAACATGATCTGCAGGCCCCAGATCGCGGAATGGGTCATTGGTTCATGGCTCGCGCACCAGCATCATTTCCAGCGCTATCATAATCACATGAAGGAAGGATTCTGGGAAGGCCCGATGGAAGTAGACTTTGAAGACTCGGTCGGACTTCGCATGTAAGTAATCGCCCGCCCTATTCGTTGTGAGGGAAAGAACGAGCTACTGACTCGATCGAATCCAGGGGCGTTCTGGGTTATGGTGCCATAGGGCGCCAGTGCGGTAAGGTTGCGCAAGCAATGGGAATGGAGGTGTATGCGTACACGAGAAGCGAGCGCGCAACACCCGAGTCTCGCAAAGACGACAGCTACTGCGTTCCCGGCACTGGAGACCCCGACGGACTGGTCCCTACTAAGTGGTTCCACGGCGCTTCCAAGGAAGCCATTAACAACTTCTTGAGCCAAGACCTCGATCTATTGGTACTCGGTCTGCCTTTGACAGAGGAGACGAAAGGACTGATTGGCAAAGAGCAATTTGAGATCTTGTCAAAGCGGAAGACCTTTGTTTCAAATGTTGCCAGAGGTCCCTTGATTCAGACCGACTCCCTTATCGAAGCTCTCGAGGGTGGTAAGATCCGGGCGGCTGCTTTGGACGTCACAGATCCGGAGCCGCTTCCGAAAGATCACCCACTGTGGAAGGCGCCCAATGTCTTCATTACACCCCACGTCAGTTGGAGAACAGATGGATACTGGGAGCGAGTTCTAGGAGTTCTGGAGGCAAACTTGGAGCGTATAGATGCTGGCAAGCCTCTCATTAATGTGGTCAACAAGAAGTTGCACTATTGAGTACTCGTGGCTGCTTGGATTTGACCGCATCCATTGTATTGAGAGGCGAAAGTGAGATCAATTCATACCCAGAGAGTCTTAAAACCTACATGTAGTAGTCACTCACCACATTATCCAAATTCCCCATTGTCGCTATCCTCCGAGTTCAACAACAACAGCGCTGTTAGTCTCTGTCTCTAATAACTGCACTATTATTTCTATTATTCTACGAAACCATTTACTAAGCTAAATGTCTCTCGTTTCCTGAAAAGCACCACCACGCCTCATATTCTCCCTGCGGCGACAAGTGGGACCAGATATAAAAGACTGGCTGGCCGACACTACGTACATATTGAAGACTGAATTGTCCACGAGCCAGCCTGACTATAGGCCGCCGATGCAAATTAAAACGAGATACGGTGTGACGATACTACCTAGAGCGATCATTGACCTGGGCTGCTTCCGAAAGTGTGGGTTATGTTGCTCATTTGTACTAAAGTGACTGCGATGATTCCGGGGTCGAGGCGATAGAGCAGGCTGGTGTTGAGTTATTATTACGTGTTCCAAGCTTCAGAGTTCTTATGACTCCATTGTTGCAACATAGACTCAATATCTCATGCTGTCAGAGCACTCATCGATGATAACAAGATATGTCTCATGTCTGCATTGGCTTCTTTGAAGGCTTTCGGGTCAGTCGTACTGGAACGGAGCTGTGCCCTAGAATAAGAGACAGTCGAATTGAGAGAAAGAAGTCTGAGCATTTAAGGAGAGATTCCACCTAACTTCCAGTCTAAGGTAGGCAGCTAACGAATTACAACATCCTGCTTTGGACTCCTCGCGAGCCATTCATCCCACAACTTGCTCTCTTCGTACTCATAAGAAACTATTCCCGCCCCAATTCTTTGATATTCAACTGCGCTTTCTCCCATTGATGTTATCAGTCTCTTTCTCCTCGGCCGGGGATGATAAGAATTCCCTTTGTGAGCTAGAAACAAACAGAAACACTCGTTGTAGTACTTTGAATCGCCAAGATCAGAGTGTACCAAAGGAAGACAAAATATCCGTCTACTCAGAATTTCGGGCCATGGCCAAACATTGTGCAAATTAAAGTCCAAATGCACTTTGTAAAAGCTCAGACCATCCAGAACTTCTCCTTGAGGCCCTCGGACGACGGTAGGTTTCCCATTAATACTCCCTTGTCTCAAAACGAAATCGTCCCAATTGACCGTGACTTCATTCAAGAATCCTGAGAGCTTCAGCCATCCGTCGCACATTGCACCGTGCGGATCATTGCCTTCGAAGCTCAGCTGCGCATCCCTGAAGTCTGCGAGAGAGCTCTCTTTTCCATACCCTATCGAAAAGCCACACTCAACCGGCAGATCAACGCTAGCCCATGACCACGAAGGGGCTCTATACCTTTCGGGAAAGTTGAATCGAGAATATTCGTAATGGGTACTGCCGGGGAATGCTCGAGCCAACCAGCAAAGATTTTGTATGATGTGAGATTTCCACATACCGGCAAGATAAGTATCTTGTTCACTGAGGCACCGGCTTTTGAAATCGTGTGCGAGACCAGAAAGACCCGGTAATCTGTCCTTGCCTTTTGAGAATGACGTCTCCGTGTAAGCCTGAACGACATTGTCCCATTCAGCCATTGCCTTCGAATGGTCCATGTCCTCTGCCATCTCTGCGATTTTCTGGTGATACGATTCCAACTTCGAGTTCCATCCCTCTGGCCACGCATCGCTGGCTTTCTGTTCGATACATTCCCAGTAGACTTGCTCTTCGGCAAAATAGATGGTCCGTCGTGAAAGAAGTCGCTCCTGGAAGACCCAACCACGCGTTGCAAGAAAACCCGTCTGATCTCTTTCCACATAAAGATGAACAAAAGCAGGTACCGCCAGCAAAGGTTCCTGGGAGAGTTCCGAGGTGAGCGGACACCGGCTCAGACGAAGGGGCTGATGACAGAGAGGTCTACGTTTCCTGAAGAGACTCTGGTCATCATGAGCGGCACAGCTCGCAGCTATCGTGCAAAGGCCATTGCCGTACACCGAAGCCATTCTAGATGCCTCCGTGTTCCAGTCGTCCACACTGTCTTGAAGTATGCAAAGCCTGTCGACCCACAGATACTTCACCCCAACCCAGCTACACACGCGACAGGCGTCCTTGATAACCTGAGGCAAGCACTCCATTCCGACACCACCAGCCGCAGACAATTCTGCCATAGTCTTTGTTGTCAAGCAGTATGCCGATGCAGAATCACCCCATCGGTAGCTGAGTGCAATGTACTCTTCGTCGGAGTCGATATCATGTACAACCCCTATTTTCTGACTCGCCCAGTCGATTCGGACAAGTCTGGTCGGCTTTTGTTGGGACGACCGGCGGCAGTTATCATGAGACGATCGACAATTATTTAACCAGGCAAGAAGTTGCGCGATAACTTGGTGAGAGTCGGTGCTGTCCCCGATGCTTGGGTAAAATGTATTTGGGTATTTGCCAGGAGGTACTTGATTGAGATCTTTGTCAACATAATGGTCTGGTCATAGCTGTGAGTGAAACATACCGAGATTCAGAATAGTTGCATCAAATCCCTTCGAATTTCTTGATGTCCTGTTTCCGCTCACTATCTGGATATTGGATTTGAGGTGGAGGGTGTGACCGCGAGGAACGGTCTCCATACGACGTGTGACTCCAAGCTTGAAGCTCCCTTTGTGCCATGTCAGCTTGTAAGCCTCGGGATCACGTTGTTGTTGCCTTTGAACTCGAAAAGCCTGCCATATGAGATGGCACAAATGGCAGCCTCGATCTGAAATAAAACAACAATCCATGAGCTGGAAGAAAGTCGTGTGATGATTCTCCCAAAAAGCCTCATCCTCTTCGTCATCCCCCACATCAGAGTTCCCGTATCTCATGAGAATGTTTACGAAGACATTGGGTCGTGTCCGGACAAACTTTTTACAACAAAGACAGAGACTGACGGGGCGCTTTTCGTCATTGACCACGACTTCCTCGAAGCCAAGTCGGTACGTGACTGCCTCAAGAGCTGCTTCAAGCTGTCGGGTACGATCTACGTCCACCAGAGCCACCGTGCTCCTGTTGATATGTGTGAGAAGCCGGGAAATTTGCTGATGTTCTCTTCGTGTGGCTTGGTCATCTTGGACCGTCGCAGGTAGGCGCCGGGGGACCTCGAGACTTGATGTTTGAAGCCGATCGATGGCTTGGGCGTAGTCGTAAACAAGGAGAGGAAACACTTTCCTGAAGGCATGTCCATCAGGCTGCGAGGACAGCAAGCTTCTCTTGCTCATAGCCGGATCCGAGAGAGTATCCTTCAAATCGTGGTCTGGTTTTTACGCAGTTAATCCGGCATGATGTTGCAGCCCAGTCAAGTTCCAGGCAACCATCCGTGCCATCTTACTCAGGAAAGGCGAAATGTAAGCATTCCATGGCCAATGGCAGGTGCAGCCTGCAGGCCCCGCCGACGGTGAGCGGGTCGATTGGACACGCTCTCTACAATAAGGGTAGGGATTCAGTGTGCTCCGCTCAACGCTCACAAATCGGGGTCCTTGTCAGAGTCGGTTTTCGCCCGGCTTTACAAGCCCAGAAGATCGACCTCAACGCGTGACCAGGCTTTTAGAGAGAAATCACACGACACAGTATACTGTTTGACTATAAGGCAAGGTAGGGTACGTTTCATATGCCCTTAGCACGCAATCAACTCAATTTAGGGATTTCGATACCAAAGACCACGATGCGAAGCGTGCAGAGTCCTGATATATCTCTGCGAGTTCACCCTGTATCTCATGGAGCAGAAAGATGCTGGGACCGCTCAATGCACCTGGGAACAAATTATCAGGCTTTGTGGATTGGGCCTTACTCTCAACCATGATGCCAGTGTTCATCGACATGTCCGGTAACTTGAAACAGCTACCTGGGTAAACTAGAACATGTGTTCTAGGGTTCTTCTGCCCCGTCGAATGCTCAATTCTGGTTGTAAGTCAACTATCTAGATTCCTCATTTACGCTCCTGGTTACCCAATTCCCCACACATCTCCGAATCCTCCGCTCCGCAGCCCGGGCAAGCCGCATGGAACCCATCACGTCACATCCGTTCTTCGTCCGATCAACACCACTTAACGCCTCCGGTTTCATTCCATCTTCAATCATGTTCATGACGGAGCTTCCCCAACCACCATCCCGCCTCTGGCCTACCTTCTTGATCGATGTTAAAGATAAAGTCGATCCTTCTCGTCAAGTCAGAACTAATACACGAGTCTGTCAATCATCTTGAAAGCGTCGAAGCAGCTCGATTCAATTCAACTAAATCTGGGAAGTTCGGTCGCTTCCATTCGCCAACTACACCTCTTTAAACCCCCAGACCCCATCAAAATGGCCACCACGCCCCCCAAAGACCTCGAGTCCCTCCCCACAATCTACTGCCACGCCTGGGCCGCCCGCGACCCATCCCCCCTCCTAGCCCTCTTCACAACAGACTCCTTCATGACAGACCACGGCGCCCAAATCCACGTCCCCTACGCCTTCCTCGAACGCCACCACAAACACTGGAACGGCGCGCACAAGGACTTTGAAGTCTACCTTGACAAGCAGTACCCCGTCTACTGGGCCGAGATGGACGCTGACGGCAACGGGTACTGCAGCTTCCGGACTGTCAACAAGGGGATCTTCGTCAACGACTTGGGACGGCGAAAGGCGACGGGGTTGCCGTTTGAGTATTCGGGTGTTATTGATCTCAAGTTGAGGGCGGGCAAGATTGCGCAGGCAGATGAGTGGTTGAGAGTTCCTTTCGAGGATAGCGTCTCGCCTGATAAGTATATCAAGATCTCGGAGGAGAGTTTGAAGGGCGTGATGAGAAAAGACCTTCATAAAGATAGTTGAGGACGAAACATAGTTCAGAGGATATCATGGCCCCGGTAAGGAGCGGTCTTCGTATGCTTGAATTCATCAAAATGAAGATCAGGGCATGTTGAAGTCAAAGTCAAATGTGAAATCCATATTTATAATCCATGTTTCTCAAATGGCTTTTTATACAACTTGTAGATTAGAACCAACGAATAGCAGGTAAATTGACGATCCTAACTGTGGATCGACCAGTTGAAGAAAAAGTCGCTTTTACATCATAGAGCAAGGCTATGTGGGGTATTATCGTCATCAACTACTCTTCAAACAACGTTTCCGCGCACTTGCTTGATCTTCTTGACGTTAAGGTTGCGCCACATGGCGACGGAACCGAGAGCACCGACCAGGAGGCAAATACTCGTGATGAGCATAATGCGCTGCGAGTCACCGTAGGCACGCTGAATGCCAATGCGCTCGGGACTGCCGACCTCGTAGCTAAGCTGCTGGTAGATATCGCCATAAATGGTGTCGACGGGAGTGCCAGCAGGGGTGTACTTTGCAATATTCTTTCTGAAAGTACCGGTCCAAATGGCAGTGGCGACGGTGTAACCAACGGTAGAGCCGATGCTACCAAAGAGATCCAGGATGGCCATGATGACGGCAACGTGGGCGTGATCGGAGGGACTGAGCATGGCCATCTCTCCGCAGATGACAGTGGGTCCACCAGCAAATGCGACTGTATTTAATGTCAGTAACGAGAACGTTGAAGAGTGTCAGATTTGCGCAATATACCGAAAATCTGGGTCATGATAATGTAGCCGAGAGATTGGTCAGGCTGGCGGAAATGAATCATGAGACCAACGCCGAGCATCATCAAAGGAATACAGAAGAACAGAGCGAATGGCTTGAAGCGTCCGGTGCGGTAGATGAGCCAAGAGATGATAATGGAAAAGAAGCAGGAGCCCGTGCGGTAAATGTTGCTGATGTAGGTGGTCTGAGAGGTGGATGTATTCCAGACAACCATGAGCATGGAAGTAAAGAAGGATCCCCAGACAGCAGAGTTGAAGAAGACAAAGACGAACATCATGCCACCGAAGAAGACGGTCCTATCCATCAAGAGAGAGAAGGGAATGAAGGTGACGGGGGCGAAGAACTTTTCGTAGACAACGAAACCGATGATCAAGAAGAAGCCGACGATAATGAAGGCAATGATCATGGGAGAGCGCCAACCTTCCGACTGGTAGGAGTAGATGTTGAATGGCAGCAGGAAGAGTGCCATGCCGGCAGCGAGAATGAGGATGCCGAGGGCATCGACATCGATGAGGAACTTGAGGATCTTGGCGCCAGAGATGTTCTTGATGGAACCGCGGCTGTCGATGACACCCATCTTCTTCGCCTTATGCTGGTTCCATAGGAAAAGGAGAACAAGAGGTCCGATGACGACCGGAGCAACGATAGCCCACATACCGAGACCCCAACGCCAGCCAATGCCATCCTCTCGAAGGATACTGTCGGTGATGGGGCCAGCTGCCCAGGTAATGAAGATGTACGGCGTCGTGGCGAACGAGAGCATCAGAGCTCTGCTCTTCAGAGTAGAGGTATCGGCGATGAAAATGGTAATGCAGTAGGAGATACCCTGGGATCTTTGGGGTGTTAGAACTGGTCAAGAGCGGTCATCTTGGAAGCTCATTACTTACCCAACTGAGTAGAAGACCTGCGCAGCAGCATAAGTCTCGACGCCATTGCAAGCAGCCATCATGATAAAGCCGAGAATCCAGCAGATGAGCATGATACCGAGACCTTGAGGACGGCCCCATGTGTCGAGAATCTTGGCAAGCGGCAACTTGATCAGGCCGGCAATGAGGGTGGACATGACGCCAGTCGTGGCTGTCAACGAGTGCATGGCGAAAGAACTGGTGACGAAGGGTGACAGGACGCGCATCGAAACCTCCTGGATAGAGGTAACAACATAGAACAACCAGATGCTTTACAGACAGTCAGTCATCGTCCAGATAGCTATCAATTCCTGTCTAGGCAGCGTATGTGTAACTCACAGGGTGTAGGCAATGATAAGATCACGCTTTGTCCACACGGTTGTCATGGCCTCGACCTTGGCGACACCGGCCTGGAGGTCCTTTGAGATTGGCTCGTCATCGCTTGATCTATCACCGGGGTGCTCGCCCGTCGTCTTCTCGTCGTAATGGGAAGATCCGGTAGGTTCGGCAGCAACCTGCTCCTCGACAGGAGCTTTCTTGGAGAACAAGCCCATGACTTTGTCGATCGAACCTCTGGTTATGCTGGGCGGGTGATGTTGGCAGCGGCCAGGCTCAGAAGCGTTGAGAGCAACAGCAAAGGGTGTCTTTTGTTGTCGTCCGAGAGAGCTTGATTCCGGGACACAAAACCGCTCGTAGGACGGGCAGATCCTGGGTCTAAGTATTACACGCCGAAAGCTGCGCGACCTGGCTGGATAGTCGTGCAACCGCCATCGGCTCGGCGAGGGCAAGGCAAAGAATGGTTGACGGGTGCCACCACTAGTGTAAGGTCAGAGCTAGCTCTCCACCTCCATGCAGCATTAGCACCACTTTGTTCGTGTAGCTGTGTGTCCACCTAGAGCAAAAGAACCTTTCACCCCGAGTGGAGTTTTGGGCTGTGGAGAGATCCACGGGATGTAAGAGCCAGCGGTGGCCGAGAGTGACTTTGCCCGCGTGGGACAGACTGTTGAAAAGGCCCAAGGCAGACGAGAGCTGGCCAGCGTTCCACTCGAACAGCCCAGGATGATTCAGTGGGAGCGTGTACGGGAAATCATGGTCACAGAATTACGAAATGGCGTCCAGGTTACCGAGCTGACTTGGCCCGGATCGTTGGGCGACGCGGACCATGTGGGGACCCAGGGAAGCCATCCCCCTGGAAGGCGCTCGGAAAGGAAGGGTTCTAGGTTGAATTCCTTGCTTGGGACCTTGGGTTCCAACGGGCAGAACAGACGGATGCACAGGGCATGCAGGCGGCAGGCGTGTGAATCGGAGGTGGGGTGGCAGTCAAGTGAGCCGATGCGCCGAATGAAGTTCTAGCTGCAGCTCGGTTACCAGAGTCGGTTCACTGGCACGACTGGTCGTCGCATCTTGGCGCTGTCGGAGGGCCTCACATGTCAGATTGCCCGGAAACCAGTTGGCGTGGCCGTAGGCATTTGTCTTGGGGCGCACATCGGCGGGATGAGGTATATAGAAGCTGTACTAGCGGATCTTGGAGGGAGAGATCGTCGCGCGATGAGCCTTTCATGGTGTCCTGCGCGTGGCGAGACCCGAGGAGCAAAGTGATGGCGGGTTGTAGTGGTAGGATCATTAGTCGCGAGATGTTTGCGCTTGTTGCCTTGCATGAATCGTTGGGTCGTCTACTGCCCTGTCTTTCTGTATGGCTTTCTCTACAGACACACGTTGGTAAGATAGATCGAATCGGGATGATTAGGGAGGATGCTTTACCTTGGACCCGAGAGACACTGGAGGCCGTCGGGGGGATACAGAAGTCCTTTTGCCTTCCAGATTGCGGGGTCTGGTGGTGGTCCTCACTGCCGGACAATTCGTCGCGATTCGGCAAGAGAATTAAGGATGAAGAAAAGCTTGACTTCAAGCATGACCAGGGCCGAGGTGTAGCGGAGAGATGGAAACAACCAGTCATCGCCGCCGTAGGACAGTCGAAGGAGGGAAAGAGGGGACGTGTGGAATTAGATACATCTGAAATGTCACTCCTTCCAGTTTGAAAACTCGGAAGGTGCCATTGCCTAAGGTACCTGCCACGCCCGGCTGGTGGACGTTTTGGTCGAGAACGGGAAGTAAAGAATGATGCGTGGATGCCAACAGTGGAAGCGTGTGCCTGCCAGGAAGGAATTTGTCACTTTCCAGCGCGTCCAAGTCGGCAGGAACAAACACCAAGGCAGAAGGAGCCGAAGGAACCCCACTGTTGCCCACCCATTTCCAGGGAAGGATGTCCTCAAAAGCTGGCCATTGGTTGGTCCATCGCCTGTGGTGTCATTTTAGGCTGTGGGGCCGTTCCAATGGCGCCGAAGCAAATTTTTATCTGATGCCGCCCCGTTTTTTCCAATCTTATCAGATCATCTCGCTGCCTCAGGAAAGATATCGCATCTGCCAGTTCCGTCTGAACTTCCAATTTGCACCTATTCCCATCTCGTCGCCTAGTGACACAAGACATTTCCTCCTCTCGTTTGTCCAATCTGTTACTCCGCCCAGGAATCTACACGACAGCCAGCTGATCCCGCTGAGGCCCCACCCTGCAACATAAGGCTGGACGTCAACGACCTCTCCATCCTGGGTTGGACGCGCACCGCGAGCCTACCACCACATTGCTTGCTTGCATCCGCGTACCTGGGGTCACCACCGTCGCATTGCGGTCCGATCTATGTAGCATTCTGCCAGCTTCACCACCAGAATGACCCGGTTGCCCAGCCTTGGCCTTGGCTTTCAGTACCTGTGCGACTCTCCATCCCGTCCTGTCACCTTATTAGAGTTGACCTTGGCGCGAACATCCCGTTCCGATGTTGCCGTGCTGTAATCGAGTTTCGTCCACTGGCGAAAGTCTTTCGTTCTCGGTTGCTCGTCTGCCTGTCTATTAATTGAGACCCAAGAGCAGTCCAAGCTTGGTCAAGTGCGCATTCCGACAATTGTCTTCCCACCGCGGCTGTGTAAAGACCCGACTATCGGCCCTTCAAGCTTACGAGTATTCTTATTTCTGATGCCCCGCCGGGTTTCTGCTGTGCCGCAGGCGAGATCCTGCTAAGGTTCGCCATTGACTAATAAATACACTGCCTTACATCGGATGAGCAGGCCGCATATGCACCAATGACATTTCTTCGCGCCTTTCACGGCACTTCATCATACCTCGTCTACAGATATTCTACGTCTGGCTGCGTGAACGATGTCTCGGACTTCGCTGGAATTCGATTTCATAGCTCGGAATCCGACCGAATAAGGTAATTACAGCTTGTCAATGGCGCCTGCAGCAAAGACGGTGGTCTCGAGTAGGAACGCCACATGATGCTAAGCGTCAGGCACCATGACTCTTTATTTTCAGGGCAAAATCGTCGTCCCTCTCGTCTTTTTGCTCATAGAAACTACTTGGGGGTGGCGAGACTTCAACAATCACACAACAGGGCGGACCCTCAGTGACACTTTCAAAGCTACTGCATACGGTCTCCCACCACGGAACCGAGCTGCTGGGCCAAGCATGCCAGCCCGTCCGTATCCGTAGGAGAACCAGCTAGGTCAGTGGCGCCACATTAGTGCCACGATTTTCACTCCATAGCTCCATGCTACATTTTCCACCCATAGAGCTTCTTCACCTAGGCCGGACCCACAGATCTCTGAGAGATGGTCTACCTGTATGTAAGCACGATCAGGGGACTTTGAATTGGGATGAAAATCTCTCTTCTAGCACTCGACTAGCACGAATCCACAGGCGGCCGCTGCTAGTATCGATCCTTGAGCTACTCTTCCGGCCGCAAGGCTCGGTTTGCCTGGCTGAGACTCTTTTCCGACTACCGCCGAAGCAAGAGCAGCCGAGGAGCCAGTACTATGCCTAGATGCCAGCCAACAAGCAGCACAAGGATGTTTCCGTGCCCACTTGCGACATCGGCCCACCATCAGGTAGACCATCGTGGGGGCGAGTGCTTACACCTTTGACTGTCTGACAACAATTTCATAATCGGAACCTCAATTCCGGCAGTTTCCTCCGGAGAAAGCTGCCAATGGGAGCCTTGCCATGCAGACTCTAAGAGACACATCGGGTCTCCCGATGATTCGAGGCCCGTCTGCTCCGTCCTACTACAACATCAACGATCCGTCCCGCGTTACCAAAGATCTTTTCCAAAGTATGCCCAATGCAGCCATCACACACCGTTCCAGTCCCGCGTTACGCGTCGCTGTCCTCGTCTTGTTTGGAATAAAGCCGGGGGTTCGGCTCCAGTGTCATGGAGCGAAATGAGGTTGTCATGCGATGATCGAGACAAAGTGCTAATAAGGGTCCCTTTTCTAGAGCATCGATGGATATGCCGATTTCTGTCAATGATACTATCCATAAATCCAAGTGGTGTCATGTCCATCATTTTGTCCCGGCGCCTTTTGATAGCCAAAGTCTGCCGACATGGAAACTTCAGTGCATTAAGCCGAGGGCAATGATACTTCACATCACCCGGTCTATTGTTCAGAGCGGGGGGTCTGAGAGTTTGGCTTTGTTGATCACTTTCTAAGTCCAGAGTTCAGGCAACATGAATACATTTTATTCTGGATCTTACCGTATGGTCTGGTCTGGAGCGCGGCAGGCTTCGGCTACAGCCACACATCTTTGATAATGTTGCCAGTTTCGCTATCTAAGCTATCAGCTTTGAGGTCCACAAATCCAAATCGCTTGAAGAAGTTGAGTCAACTGTCTTAGAGTGCTCTCAAGCTCATACTATAGACCAGAAGACGTAAATCGCCAAGTCATGACCTACGATTGCCATCGATATAAATGTAGTGCTTGTTACGTTGTGGGTCGGAACAAGATCATGCTCCCGCGGAAAGCAAACAGGTTCCCATCTGCCAGGCGTGGGTTTTGCCACCATTTCCGGGTCTGGTGCAACTTGCGCACCGCTGCACTAAGGTAGCAGTAGCTGAAGAAGAGAGCGTCTGTGGAAGGCAAGAGTGACCTGACAGACGCGTTACCTGTACAAATTGATTCATATCAACAGCATAACTCGAAGTCTTCTGCTGCATCCCGCCTTCGTCCACTTTATTAAAGGGTCGATTGTTGGCTCCGAAAGTTTGTAAAACTTCAACCTGACTCTCAGACACAGGCGAGACCATCTGCAACTCGCGCACTAAAGTAGATTGTAAGACTCCAATGTCGGGACTCCGTAATCTCCCTAGGAAATTGTTACTTGTCAATGGTCCCTGCGTTCCCTAAGCTTCTGAGCCGGGTACGTGAGCGAGGGTCCTCCGAGTTGCACTCCGCTCCGGTGGCCCCACCCCGACCGGCACCCGATAGTAACATTCGAAGTCTATGCCCTGATCCATTCAGGAACTCTAGAAAATCCAACATCTTAAAACCCTAAGAGACGCACTCCAAGCTTCGCTATTACCAGGCATACCACGTGGGCTAGACATCAAGTGTTCTAGGCCTTCATGAACGCTCCAATTCCCCGCGAGGGATTTCGAGAGGGGAGAGTGATGTCATGACGACATGGGCCTCAGTCGACACGTCCCCACGCGGCTCAACTGCGAATGGTGGGCAAGCTTCGCGGGGGCTACGTCATCCCGGGCACATTCTAGAACTTCAGACGGCGGAGGATATTCTCTCTAGGTAAATAAGCAAATCGGTCATGAATGATAACAATTACACTACAGCGCATACCTGAACGAGGTGGCCCTTGAGAACTTGAAGTCACAATACTTCTTTCACATCGGACGACGCCCTCGCCGAAACGCACAAACGCAGATCTAGCGCTACCTCGATATGGCAACACAAGCTAGCGAAGACATGTCACATCCGAAACCACCTTCGAAGCCCGGTCAGATAGATCAAGAAGGGAGCAGACAACCACCAAAGCAGCAGCCGCAAAAGGCAGAAGCGCCGCATAAGACCGAGACGGAGGAAAAGATTGAGAAGGAAACTCCGCGGTTGAACACTGGTGCTTCAACATCCGCGTCAGAATCGAGCACACAGCAGGATGGAGTTCAGTACGTGACACGAAGATCAAGAAGCAAACGACAAGATCCAGGCAGGCAACTCGGACAAGTTGGGCAACAGCAGGTCGCACCTCAGAACCAACAAAATCGACAAGTGCAGACCACGAGCAGCAGTGGGGCGCCTTCCGTGAAGCTGGATATGAATTTGGATGTCGACATTGATCTTAAAGCAAAGATCAAGGGCGATGTAACGCTATCTGTATTGTGAGTTCACATACTTCTTTTGCTGTTGCGTCTTGGATCCGGGTGAATATGACATGCTAATGCCAGTCTAGAGGAGGAAAGCAGAATAAACAGTAGTCTTCTCAAAGGGCAGTGTCGTGATCTTGTCTTTGCGCAATCATGTGACAACACAGAAGAAATCGCATGTATCATGCTCTTGAGTTTTAGTTCCTGTCGCGATCCAAATTGGACATCCACGGACAACCAAACGCAGCAGGTTCATCAAAGTCGATCCGACCCATGTTTTCATGAGATGATGTTATTCCCGCAACCGCAGGTGGAATGTAAGATCGAAGATAAATGCGTCTTCAAACAATCTATCCCCAACAAGATGCTAATCAAGTCAATAAAACTAGCATCTCGAATTGAATCGCCGGACGGGGTCAAGACTTAAACCCTATTTGGTATGTCGCTAACACCGGAGCACCATCCCAAGGGCTATAATATAGAGGCGCGACGCAACGCCACGGCTCTTTTCGCCAGTCTTGCGGCGCCCTCCTCCGGACCTTCTTGTGCGGTGACTATGCTTTTCTGATATCGAGAGCGCAGCTTGGGGCATATCTGCCATAACAGCAAGGAACCGAACATTGGCGTAAACCGGGAGGCTGGGAATCCAAAGGGCCGGTACGCCTTTTGTTGCTTGGCGTCAGCCCATGCGCTTTGGTGATCCATGGCTCCTTGCTGAATTCTAGTGAGAAAGGCTGCCTGCTCGGGCTTGGATGAATTCAGACATACTTATGGTTCAGCCTGAGGGCTACTCCTGGTGTGCTCTAGACCGTCCTCGGTGGTCCGATATTCCCAGCAAAGATCAAGCATAAACGAGCTCGCATGACGGGCGTGATATCTGCCGGATAAAGGGTTGGGTTGTGTGGGGTTGGTCACATCAATTGAACAGAGCCAATAAAGAGGAGAGCGCCCCAAACTTAAGTCAAAGGAGAAAGTCGCGAAACCTGACCAAGTAGCATTGAAAAGGGCGGACGCGACTTCTCTCGAACTCGATCGAAGGATGCGAACAGACCATGAGAGGACGTGTCTGGCTCAGCACCCAAGTTCGAACACACTTAGATGATTGGGAGCCGACGCCCCTCAGCTGAACTAGCCGTGGCCGGATTCACGGCCGGGGGACGAGAACGAAGCCGGCGGTAGAAGTTTTCTTAATGAGCCTTTGAGGTCACATCACCTGTGCTAAAATCAGATGAGGGTGAGTATACCAGCTAGAGATGGAAAAGGTCATGAGCTCTCGGCAGGATACAAGAATATTCCGAGTTGATCAACACTTGTTCATCGACGTTTGTCCAACGATGATGCTTATTGACACACGCGTACACGTGCACCGATGTTTGATCACCAACCTTTGTTTCCCGCAACAACACTGTCGTCACCAATAAACACGACTTTTGTGGGGCCTGGGTTTCGGCTAGGGGAGAACGTGATCTCGCAAACTCGTGTACACTCTTTGTGGCATCATGGTGTCGGCAAATATGGCCGGTGTTGGCACTAATGGCTGTCCTGATAATGGCTTCAATGGGGCTCCATCTTCCAGGAGAGCTACCGAACATAGATATCATAAGGTAAGGTATATAACACCAATTCTAGGCTCTCGAATCTACAGGTTTCTATTCAGCATACCACACATCTTTCTAAACCAAACGCACCTCAGTCTCTCTCATCAACATGATCTTTGCGTATCTCGTTCTACTGTGCTGTTCAACTTAAAAAGTTTGGGCAGCACCTGGTGTACACAAGAATGGCGCGGACATTCCCACAGTCAGCATTGCCAACATTCAAGCTGGTCCGGTCCCTTCTGATCGGACTTCTTTCGACCCAGAGTATCAACCAGCAACTAGGTCCACGCCACCTATCCACCACATTCCGAGTCTCAACTGTACCCCCAGCGATAATACCTTCGCGCAGCAACAAGCTGAAACATCCATTGACTACTTCTGCAATAAGGAAGAGGTATGGTGGAATTATGCCTTCGCTCCTCCCATCTCACTCGGACTTAATTATACAAGTGATGGCCGCAAAAAGGTGGCCGCTGCTGGGGCGGGGCGTTCCATCTCAAAAACCGGTTCAATATGGACAGGGCTCTGGTTCTCTGACGATTCCTGCTCGGGATTCTTATCATTTACCCTCGGAAATACAGACGATGAGAAGGAAGACCACTGCAAAAAGCACTTTCGAGCCATACTAAATGGCTGTGGAACGGATACAAGCACTATAAAGAAAGAGGGCAAGTTGGTAGATGGATGCCGGGTATATCAAATATCGGTTGCCGCAAATAACCCTTTTACTGTCGATGAGTTGTATAAAGATCCAGGAGACTTGGTATGCAAGGATAATGAAAAGAGCTTAAATGGAACTTGTATCTGCAACTACGCTGGTTATCCTGGGCTTACTGATGTCTTCGAGCGACCTGCGAGTAAGTCGTGCGAGGCTCGGGACGTTGACTTGACGAAACTAGCTATCAATTAGTCTGAAGTATCAAGCATTATCATCTGATTCCTGGCCGAATGGTACTCTGCTTGCAGCCGTAGCAGGGTTCCGCCTGCAACGGTTTCAACCACCGTTATCCATCGAATTGACAGTTCCTGATCCCTTCTTCTTACGAACTGATTACAGATTTCTCAACATCTCATGCATTGTAAAACCAGTTGGTGGATGCAAGCTCTTAAGCTCAGACGCAAAAGTTGCCTCAGATGATGTAATTAATTTCAATTGATTGAAAACCCATAATCAATCATGTTATTCACATAGAAGGGGTTATCCCCTATGCCTACTTAGAAGATTGCGCCGTGGTTCAGACCTCGTCGATAATATCCCACCGGGATAATTATTGCGTTAGGGTCACTAGAGGGGTTCACTTGCCGCGGCACCCTACATGCCTACTTGTGGCTGGATGGCAGGAAAAAGAAATGAATACAGAAAACATTCAGTCACCTGACACCCCCTGCCCAAAGGCTCAACTACTGTCTTACGCGATCCCTTGCAAATAAATTTCGGGAGAGGAGAGGCACGGATATACGTGGCCACATATATACGCTTGCAGTTGCGCACTGCCCTTGATAGCGCCACTATGATGCGGTACACATGTTCCATAATTTCAGGAGTGGTAGACACTTCGGCACGTGTTACCGATAAGACGCATCAACTCGCGTCGTACTATGTTGAGGCTGGTCTATCGCGTAATGGTCATAGATCTAGATCATGAACTCCCTGTCGTAGGAAGCGCGTAATTAAGCGGTATTTGAGATCCTTAGTAAGTATGGAACATCGGTTAGGACAGCTTCCTGGAGGCGAGCAAAGATCTTAGCTCTTCCCGAATTCCACGATCCTCGTCAGGAAATCGCATAATTTTTAGCGGGATATGGCGAAGGGGAGGGTGGAACGTAGACCACGGCTACTGGTATGCGGCCTACACCGCAGGGATGGCCTAGCGTCCATAGCTAGAGACTAGCTGAAGCTTGATCATACGAATCAGGATAAGTTAAGATTCGGAGTCAGAATCTAGGTATCTCAAGTTTTGTTCGTGAAGATAAGAGAGGATAGTTAAATGATTAAAGCCAGCTCGTGAAGCATGGCCCAGCTGATTAGCAACATCGCTCACCACTATCAAAGCCCACAAATTAGATTACTTTCTTCCACCCTCTATGATTACACGAGATTCTCAGGCAGGGGTGTATTCCCTTGAAGCTCCGGCTATTCTTTTCGGAATCGCTATAGGCTTAACAATATTCGCCGTATTCAAGGCCAGCGACCAGACTTTCCAAATCTACTCAAGAACGAAGCCAACGGTCAATTTGTACTTTTGGATGTAGGTCATTCGGGACTAGTCAAGTCTCCAATGTTTAACGTACTTTGCCCAGGATCTGGATCTTACTCCTCACCAATATTTCTCAAGCGGTCACAGTTTGGCTCCGAGCTCACGGAGACCTTGCAAAAAGGCAGGACGTTCTGAGTTATTTCAATCTCCCTGATTGTCCTACTGGCTAACAGGTAGCAGCTTAGGGTTTTCCATTGGAAGCTTTGTGCTCTGGATCTTACAAACACAACTCGCCCCCCAAATCCTTGCGAATCGACTAGGGCTTCTTCTAATAGATAAGAGGAGGGCAAAGATAATGAAAATTGCGTTGCTTATCATAGTTGGGATTATGAATGTCTTAGTGACTTGCATTTACCTTACAGGGTACACTGCCAACACGAAGTCGTTTTCGAATCTGCATAAGATCTGGGATCCAATCGACAAGGTTGTTGATTTATTAATCGACATTTCGCTAAACGTTGTGTTCTTACGGATCATTCAACATGAACTAATTGCCAATGGCCTTATCAAATACCGACTGTTGTTTTACTACGGCGTCGTCTTCGTGACGATCTCAATATGCATGGACGTAAGTTGCCCAGTGTGCAAATCAATGTAATGAAGTGACTTGTCTGTGTTTACTGTCTTGCAAAGTATACGCAACATAATTGACGCTTTTAATTCAAAGGTTCTTATGATTGTCATGACGACTGTGCAGGAACCGTTCCTCTACGCTATGACTCATCCAATCGCCTATACGAGCAAATTGATTATCGAAATGACGATGGCGGATTTGATATTGCTCATTGCAAAAACACCACATCAAATTCAAGATGTATCGGAACAGATTTGTACAAGTCAGTGACTTGGTCCTTCTAGTCAGCTCCCTCCCCTCATACTATGTATCACAATATATAATGAAGAAACGTCGCTTCATTCACCTCTTGTATCTCTGCGAGTTTATCACCTACATGTGCCTCGACTCTAAAAGACGATCTCCTCATGTCTGACCCGCCTGTTTCTCGGTCAATCTTGGTCCATACACAAAGTCTTCCATAGTACTTTGTTGTCAATGAAACTCTCAATGTCTCAAAACCTGCAAGCTGTTTTTGACTATCATTATTCTATTAATTTGAAAAGCTGCTACGTAAGTGAGCTTGCTTTTACAAGATAGCAAGAACCAAAGGCTTCTCAACCAAGAAGTTATTTCTTCTAGTTCTTGCCGTGACAGGCATCTCTGCATGATTGACGGCTGCTGTTAGAAGAATAACAGCGATAGCATAGACTACAGCTGAGGCCTTGATCGACTACGTGGAGCTCGCTGTGGGCTGAGGTGTCGTTTGAGGCCTGCCAGTCAACCCAATACACAATCCTTTCATAAACGGCTTTTTGGGTCAACTTCTAGTACCTGTCGTCTTAGTAGATAATCCGTGCAGGTCTTTCGACTTTGGCCTCTTAATATCTCGATCATTCAGCCTTTTGTGATTACGACATTACAGCAAGCCCGCATATTGCAAGACTGGGACTTACCATTCACTGTCAACAGACTGACATCTCAAGAATTATGCCTCTCACGAACACCGCAACGCCAAACGGTTCAGAACAAGATCTCCCCAAACCTTCACAAATATTTCCAAGCTTCAAACGCCAGACCGACCACGCACGAGCGTCTAATTCTCGAAACGCTGGCTCCATTTAGTATAAAGCGTTTAGCCACAACTCCGCTCAACCACGCCTTGCGTACTGATTGATTTCCATACTAGCAGTGTCAAATAAGCACCGCAGGCCATCATGGATAAGGCAGTGGTCTTCATAATCTCGGAAAGCACAGGAGGTCTCTTGCGAAATCCCAGCGCTACGTTAACTTGAAGCTGCTCTATGATCCCATGCGCTTTAGGTACGCTGGATGATTATCGAAGATGGGACAGCTGTCCATGAGGTGGACTTCGGGAGCTAGGTCTAGGAGGGCTTTTCGACGGAGAGGTCTGACGGCGAGAAAAGAAAGGCGCTATTCTCCCGACATGTGTGCGCACGAGGCGGTGGACGCCGTGCTTTACGCTCAGTTCCCCCAGTCGCTGGCGAGTCAGATGAAGGGTTTAGAAGACTTCCAAATCGTGCAACTTCGTGGGGTCTAGTGATGACAGTCGCCTGGTATGTTGTCTGTTGCCTATGGTGTAAAAGAGATTTAGCCGATGGTCTCTGTGCTAATCTTCTTCTCTTAGGTTGTCGGAAACGATGTTAGAAATAACGGGATGAAAGTTCTAAGAGATAGCAGGCTCCTTATATCCGTCTCGTCAACATCACGTTTTCCCAGACTCGAAGGACAATGGCAAGTGAGATATTCCACGTGCATCAGCCACTCCGCGAGTAATTCCGGCGTGAAGCGAACCAAGGGCCGAATTATTATGGCACAGCGCCCCATGGTAGCTTGAACCTTGACGGTTTGATGATCGCGGCCGAGATCATGAATTTTCGAGGCCGTGACGGCGCCGGAGGCTTTTCCGGTTGTTGATCCATATCTCTGTGGGGCAGCTTACTTATAAGAAAAGGTTCATATAGGAAAAGAGAAATTAGATCTATATAAGTGATGTTTGGTATGTACTTATTTAGTTAGGGCTCGAAGATCGATTCTATGCGTCTTACCTGGGAATCTCTTTTTGGCATTGTACTGTTTCTTGATGCAGATAGCATCGATGCACAGTCTTCTTCGTTTAAGGTAGTGGGCAGTTTCGGATGCTGTAAAGCCGTTGCCGGCGGTTTCGGATCAAACTGTTACGTTGCTTGCTTCTATTGTCCGGCATTTTCTTTGCATCCTCAATCCACAGCTGCCGTTAGGTTTGCAGAGATACCGGACTTGCTGACACCGTTGTAGCTCTCGTCAGACTCGAATCTTCACCTCTCAACTGTGTTATCAGGATGAAAACTTTACTATCGATTGCTTACGCCAGAGTTTCGGGAAACGAGAAGCCCATTCGATGTCTCTTAGCTTCCCACTTTTTGTATGAGAGAGTAATGCGAAGCTGCTATATTGGTCGCTTGCGACTACAACTTTCGTCAAGGCCTTTCAATACAACGTACATGTAATGGTGGGTCTACTCTTTTTCGCGATCACTAGTTGAAGAAGTATTCGGTCAACATTGCGTCTGCAGTCAGACGGAAGCTATATACACAGTCATGACAAAGAATATCAGCTATCATTTAGAGACTGTCTAATAATAAACAATGAGTAATGCATGGATGCAGATGACGTACTTTACGTTATATCTCAGTTTTTGTCTATCACAACCGCCAATTCCGGGAATTTGATGGTCTCAGGTGCGAATATTTGTTGGTCACTTGATTCACTAATGTAATTCTTCCCAAATTATTTAAAATTACCGTTCTCATACTAAGCTACATAAGTACGTGGCCACGGTGCACCAAACGTCAATCGCAACTCGACTCATTGGCGGTAAGTGTGCAAGACTTTGGAGTAGTTTCGGTATGGATGCCGAGCTTACAAGTATCCACAAATCTCGCAGACCACCCAACACGGAGTTTCAGGGTTCCCCGCTGTGCTACGCGAATCTTACCTTGTCACCTTCGTGTGCAGTGGGTGCAACCTCAAAATAGCATGTGGAAGCCCTTGAGAATGGCATGAGAATTGCACAACCAGTCATACCTAATCAGCTATCCGGGCCTAATGATTCGCCGGGGGCAGCGCAGATCCCCACGGGGCACCATACGCAGAAGATGTTTTTGAATCAATGTCTAGGCATTATCCATCGCCTTAGCCCTATTCCAGACCTGCGTCCGGAGTGTGTCTTCCCCGACAGCAAATAAGGTCGAAGCAAGGTGGGACAGACTCCGCAAGCATTCAGTGAGGTGTTGCATCGCTGACCGGGATGGAGTTGAATCTGCAACCTTTCACTGCCAAATGGAGTTGGCGAGGTTTATTAGTGCTCACTCTTCGGACTGACTAAGTGGCCCTACTGCTGGCAATTGCAACACAGCTACCCGGTAACCTGGCTGATCTAGTTGCCAGGGGTCTTGGTGCAAGAATCGTATTTAAGATGCAAGCGCGCAACAAGAAAGTTGCCGAGAGCAGGAGGTCTCCCCGAAAGTTTTCCGTCCCTCTATTGTCTCATGATCAAGCGGCTATGGAGATCTTTTCGCTGTCTATCGGTTTTGTCGGCCTTCTACTCATCTCCTTTGTCGTTGAGAGAGTCTTGAACAAGTTGAAGAATGGAAGGCGACCCCCGTTACCCCCCGGCCCCAAGGGTTTACCGATTGTGGGTAATGTGAACGATCTACCCAAAGCTGGCGAATTGGACTACGTTCACTGGCTGAAGCACAAGGAATTATACGGTCAGTCCTGGTCTTGGAATTTGAAAGCATGCTATTCGGTGTCAAGGAAAGGGGGAATTCTATAGTGTGGAGGACGTAGCTAACTTTGTGTTAGGTCCCATTAGTTCCATCACAACCATGGGTCAGACCGTTGTGATACTTAGCGATCCACAACTTGCTTTCGACCTCTTAGACAAGCGCTCACTGAAGCATTCCTCCAGACCTTCACAAACGTTCATTGGCGAGATGTAGGTGACTCTGGGGTGTCGTGCCGATCTGTGGAAACCCCTAACAGGATGAAAGGGTCGGTCTAGAGCATATCACTGGCATGGCCGTCTATGACGAGCGATTCCGCGCACAACGCAAGGCCATGGGCCGTGTCCTCGGCTCAAAGGTTGCTGCAGCGAAATACAACGAGTGGCAGGAGGCTGAAGTTGGACATCTTCTTCTGCATCTGCTAGATGACCCACAAAACTTTGTAGAACACATCAAGAGGTAAGCGAAAGGATGTATTGTGTGAGAAGCGTCTGCCCCTTTGCTAACCAAGTCTCGCAGAGAAGCTGGTTCACTGATCCTAAAGATTACGTATGGCTACACAGCGGAACAATTCAAGGAAGATCCTTTCCTTGACATGATTACGGAAACCATGGACAACTTCTCGACGGGCGCTACGCCCGGTGCCTTTATAGTCGATGTTTTCCCCTTTTGTCAGTCTTTTGCCATGCTTCTGGCCGAAAAGCTCTTGTCCTAACTCCAAACAGTGCGGTATCTACCCAGCTGGGTTCCTGGGACAGGTTTCAAACAACTCGCAAAGCAATGGAGAGCCCAGATGGAGGAGACCAGGGACAAGCCATACGCCTTCGTTCAGCATCAAATAGCTCAGGGCAAAGACAACTCTTCTTATCTGTCCAACCTTCTCGATTCCTCTGAGCAGTCGCCCTTCGACCAGCACAACCACAAATACTCGGCGCTGGCTGTTTTTGGAGGAGGCGCAGATACGGTGAGTGGCTCGGTCAATCCTAGTTGGAGCCCCTCGTTGTAGGGGACACTGCATATTGACTAAGCATCCTACAGACCGTATCGACAGTCGCATCCTTCTTCTTGGCGATGATGGTGTACCCTGGTGTTCAGAAGAAGGCCCAAGAAGAAATCGACAGAGTTATTGGTAGTGGAAGACTGCCGACTACCAAAGATCGGGAAAACCTTCCCTACATCGAGGCTCTCGTAAAAGAAATCATGCGCTGGCACCCAATTGGTCCTATGGGTCTGCCGCATTCTAGCACGGAGGACGATGTCTTCGAAGGCTACTTCATTCCGAAAGGGGCCATGGTGCTTCCCAATATTTGGTAAGTACGGCAATATGTTGAGGTAATCGTTCACATGGGCTGAGACAAGTCTACAGGTGGTTCACTCATGACCCAGAGCGGTACCCCGACCCAATGAACTTCAGACCTGAGCGCTTCCTACAGACCGACGGCCACGAACCTGAGGCGGACCCTCACAAGTTTGTGTTCGGGTTCGGTCGCCGAATCTGCCCCGGCCGCATCCTCGCCGATAACTCCATCTTTCTCAATATCGCTCAGTCACTTGCCGTGTACGATTTCGCTAAGCCGATTGTTGACGGCAAGGTTGTCGAGCCGGCTGTCAAGTTCACCACGGGCGTGATCAGCCACCCGCAGCCATTCGAGGTCTCCATCAAGCCTCGATCTGCTCAGCACGAGAGGTTGATTCGCTCAATTGAGGAAATCTACCCGTGGGAAGAGAGCGATTCTAAGATTCTGGAGAGGATGGAGGTTTAGACAATATTCGGTGACTTGCTTTTTTGCGTATACGGCCTTGATCACGATAGTGCCCTACTTGTCAAATTGCCACGTTATTCAAAGGGATGCCGTTTCGGGGGAGCTGGACTTGATGGCTCAGAAGTTGAAAGAATGACCCCGGATATAGCTCGACGTAACAATGAAAGTCGGCTTCATGCAATACCATTAAACCGCGGGTAATGTCTTACGAAGTCGCACTCTTGAGTCTTAACTTCTGTCTCCCTCGATTTACCTTGAGTAATCTGAAAAGTCATCCCTGAACACAAGTTGAACTCTTACGCCGACTCGTGTCCAGTTTGCACATGACATTTGTTGCGAGAATCCCGAGCCAGCTGGGGTCGTCTTTAGCTCCTCTGTGGTGCCGAAATGAGAGCGGTGCTGCTATCGTACTCTGGCAAGGCATAATTACCCAAACCTGTCCCTTCAAATCCTCGACTAGTCGATGTCTTTGTCTCTCAACAATCCAGGACTTCGGATTGAGCTTGCCTGAGCATTGTAGGCTCAGACTCTTGCAGTCCCCTCCTGCAGGCATCACTGCTTGCTTGCACCGAGGGTGCACAAGTCTTTGAAAATTGCCACAAATGGCGAAAGCCAGGTAATCATCTCCAACTTACTATGAGCTGTGGTAGGTATAATACCTAGTCCAGGAGGAGGGTACAGTTTACTGCTCATCATAACAAGACCTCGCCGACAGTAAGGAAATTACACGCTCGGTGATAGCTCATTAGCCTTATCGATTTCGAGCACAGCCGCATCACCTCCATTATCATGAAGTTTAGCGTCCCATTTACGGCATTCGCGTCCCATTTACGGCATTCGCGTCCCTGACCCTAGCTTCACCTTTGAGAACTCAAGCCCCAGAGTACGGCAACGTCGGTGTCAAGGACAATCGGTACAATCGCGTCGTTGCAAAGAAACCGGCTAAAATGACGGTGAAATTTTCACGAGCCTGGGATAATTGGGGAAATTCGAACAGCTTTTGATTGAAGTAAGTCGAACGTTAACTCGTAGGATACATGTAGATTTTGAAGGGCAAGGACTAATTTTCGTAGATTCTCGACGCGGTCATTTGCAAGTTTTTAGAAGGAAGTGGCGGAGCAAAGGAGTAAATAAGTAAGGGGTTCGGAAACAGAATGAGTAAACCTACTATCCATCCCCCTCGGGATTTGAGTTACTAATCGCCGTCTGAGGATTCAGCAATGAGATGATGCAACTCTACAAGTCTTGATTGACAGACCAGGTAGACACAAAGGAATGAAGATTTTCATGGGGGATTCGGCGACCCAAATATGTTTAGGAGAGTTCAGCCCAAAATAGACACATAGACAGGTTGACAGGCTTGTTGTTCCTTGTTTCAGTCAACTAACCGCGATTTCGCACCCAGTTTTCTTCCCCGTCCCTATCGCATCCTGAGACGCGTAAGTCCACCAGCCCCCCACAACTTTTCCACAACTTCGTTCCCGCTAAAGACCGAAAAGGAGAGGGAACCAACTCGAGTTTGGATAGGGGTGGATCGTCATCGCGAACGAAGATCACCCCACCACCCGCAGCACGCTAAGACGGAAAGCCGACCGGGACCTCACGGTGCGTCGTCTCTGGAGCCGCCAGTCACGCACTCGTGGCAGTCTCCCCCCAGACCCCGGTGAGCGTCGTATGCAAAATTGCGGCAGCCCGGAGTTCACGGCTTCTAATTTCTACATGTATGTTTCAGTCTCAACCAGCCCATACTTGGAATTCTGGCGCTAGAAAAACCACCGCATCTAGAACCAAACAATTGAACAACTAATAGAGCTTTAGTGCGAAACCGCCGAAGTGGTCTTAATAAGATGGACCCTGAGATCATGCCAGTGGGTTACGTGGTTACATGCGCGTCAGCTACAGACGTCAGCTGTGGAGAGAGGGAAAATTGAAAATGGACCCGCGATTTTGCACAGCCCTTTTGATGGAATGCCCTTTAAGCTCAAAGACTCTTCCGCCCTACCCTGAGGGGCCACCCCTTCGGCGTGCGGTCTCGTTTATGTCTACGTCGTTGCCGTTGTTACTGTCTTTGTCGTTGTTGATGCCAAGCTTTTGCCAATAGCTCGGCGCTGCGATTTGGATCTCTTGTCGCTCGTTTATATCGTCTCCTAGCTGAACAACTCGAGATGAGACCGACATTAGGACTGCCGGCTTTGGCCGTGGGGTTGAATTTGGCGAGCGTCAGTGCTATCGATGTCACATGGACAGATGAAGGTAGGATCTCTGCGTTTGCCGAGTCATCTTGCCTTGGCTAACGTATTGCAATATCAGACTCAATAAAGAGTGCCGCGGGCACGGTTGCATATGGGCTAGTTAAATACTACACTGGTAACAATACTGGCGATACCCCTGGAAACTTGCCAGATCCCTATTACTGTAGGTCTATTCCATAACGTTGTCATGGACCTCGTTCTGATCGTTTCAAGGGTGGGAGGCCGGTGCCATGTTCGGCACATTGATAGACTACTGGTGGCTCACAGGCGACGACTCTTACAACACAATCACCACGCAAGCCATGCTGCATCAAGTAGGCGACGACAACGACTACATGCCACAAAACCAAACCCTTACAGAAGGAAACGATGACCAGGGCTTCTGGGCAATGGCCGCCATGTCCGCCGCCGAACACAAATACCCGAATCCGCCAGAGGACTCACCACAGTGGCTTGCCCTGGTCCAAGCAGTCTTTAACGAGTACGTCAGTCGATGGGATACGGAAAACTGCAACGGCGGTGTGCGATGGCAAATCTTTACGTGGAACGCCGGTTTCGACTACAAGAACTCCATCTCGAACGGGTGCTTCTTCAACGTCGCTGCGCGCCTGGCTCGGTATACGGGGAACACGACATATTCGGACTGGGCAGAAAAAGTCTGGACATGGCAGACGGACGTCGGACTGCTCACATCCGATCACGAAGTACTCGACGGCGTTCATTTTGAGGGGAAATGCCCCAGCTCCACCGACAGCACAAAGTGGTCCTACAACGCCGGCATCTTCCTCTACGGCGCGGCGGTGATGTACAACATTACGGGGAGCGACACGTGGAAGACCCGCCTCGACGGCATGCTCACGGACGTGCAGACGGCGTTTGTCCAAAACGATATCATCTACGAGGCCTACTGCGAACCGACGGCGCAGTGCAGTCAAGACGCGCAGAGCTTCAAGGGGTATCTCGCACGCTGGCTGGCCGCCACGTCGCAAGTCGCCGCGCACACCGCGGACACCATCACGGCGCTGCTGCTTTCGAGCGGGAAGAAGGCGGCAATCACCTGTTCGGGGTCTCCTGCTTCGGGGTTCAAGGGCCACGCGGGGACGGCGTGCGGATTCTCGTGGCTGAATGAGACGTTTGATGGGATCGTGGGCGTGGGACCGCAGATGACTTCGTTGCAAATGATCATGTATAACCTGGTGGGGTCGGCTGAGGCGCCCGTCACTGCTACCACGGGAGGAAACTCCACGGGCGATGTCAACGGAGGAAAGACTGATGATGGGTCGGGGTCGTCAAATTCTCTCAAGGCAATCACCACCGCGGACAAGGCCGGTGCGGCCATCTTGACGATAATGGTTTCGGCCAGTGTCGTCGCTGGAAGTACTTTCCTCATCATGTAGGAGAAGTTTTATGTTAGTCATTCAGCGAGTTTTGATTTCTTTGAGCAAATGCGAAAGCGAACCCACACCGAGGTGAAGCCTTCGGTGAAGTACTAACACATGACCGATTTGGCTTGATCTGGTGCCAAGGATTCTGAAGCGGGATTGTGAAAGTTTAGTATGCAGGCTCGGCATATCCTGTTCGTGTCAACTGCTTTTTGGCATGTGTTTCGCCTCTGGCTCCCCATCCGGAAGCGGGGAAGCCAAATGTAGTGGGCAAGGTCTCCCGAAGTGAACATGTTCAGCTTGATGGATTTCGTTAGAGATCTGTGCTGGCGTGAAACGAAACTTAGATCGATGTTACGGTACTATGAGTACGGAATATCCACGCAGTAGACTTCATCAGGTCTTGCATGCCATACATACGTCCGAACAAGCCTTCTCTTAGAGAAAGCATGCAGAGCACATGGGGGAAACGTGTCTGTTGAATCAACCACCTGGCTTACTACTTGCACAGTGGTAAGATGGTTCGGCTGATTGATAGCAGTCGAAGGAGTTAGTTTTGGAAAACTGGTCACCAACGCGAGTGGTCGCCTTGCGTCATGGGCAGACTTACACAGACCGTTGCAAACCTTGAGGTTGGAGACTTGAGAGTCGAGAGTCTTAAGCGCCGTTCTCGGAGATATCGGACATGTCGTGCACCGACCGCCGGCGAGTGCTTATCGTCTCAACCCATGAGAGCCCGAGCCAGATCGTGTTCCATGCTTGTCAGTCAAGTTGGTAGTCGATGATGTCGTGCGTAAACCGGCGGGAATTACCCAACTTGTAATCAGTTGACCTCGTGTTTTGTCCATTGACAACGCAACGTAACGCCGAGTTTTCAAGATCGTTTTTTCCGAGAAGCTCGGAGGTACTGGCCGACACCGTTTCTTCACCGAACTTCACCTGGGGTCGGTGTGTCATTTGAGTCGGGGTCTTTCGGTGAGCTAGTCACGGCCGCTTCCGAGGTGAGCTGAGCCAATGGGAAGCGTCGCATTGCTGGCCGTGGCCGATGCAGGCGCCCCGGCCCACCCACCGGCTTGCCGGTCTAAGCTCCGACCTCGATCGGTCCTCCCCCCCCTGCTATTCCCATGCTCCCATGCTTTTTTCCCTCCCACTTCATTCTATTCCCGCGCACAGAGGTTGACTGGCATTCGTGCGCTCCAACGTTGGCTCCCGTCCATCTTCCAACCCCCACCTACCTTTACCCTTACCTCACCTTAGCTGGCTGCTGCTGTTGCGGGTGCTGCTGCGCCTTTCAGTCGCCTGTCTTGTCAAGCCCAACCCACCAATCCCAACAATCCTGCAAGAGTCACCGAACGACAACTTCCAACGCCAATCGACGAATCACCAAGCAACCAATCTCACAGCTTACCGCCTTTTCAGATAGGCTGCTGTGATTCTGACATGCTCTAGGCTCGATCCCCGTGTCACGGCTGTTGTCTCTGGGTGGGTAAAGCTGGAGCCAAGAGCAAAACAGCGTCGCAGGATCGATCCCCCGCCATTTGTCAGCCTTCTCAGCTCTGGTCGCCAAACTGTGTGTGTCACCACCGCCGCACTCTGTCGAATCCTATCCCTCAAACCCCAATTCAAACCTTCGTGAGCCTCCAGTCTCTTCTCCGACTACAACCGCCACTGCGAACGACCAAATCTCTCTTACGACGTCCACGTCCCCAGACATCCGACGGACGGCCGACAAAAGAGACACCATGGACAACTTCTCGCCGACAAGCCAACAGTCGAACCCCACGACGCCAGCCAACGCCATGAATGCCAACCCCCACCATTCGCCAAACTCCCCGACCATTCACGACTTTCCTGCCCTCAGCCGACATGGCGCGACCTCTATACCTCCTGATCAACCTGTGGCCATGACGGCCTCCGGCCAGCCAGCCCTCAATCCCCGAAGCTGCGTCACCTGCCGCCGACGAAAGGTCCGCTGCGACAAGCAAATGCCCTGCAGCAACTGCCGCCGTGCTGTCATCCAGTGCATCTACCCAGCCCCTGGCCGCGCCCCTCGTCGTCCCCGACCGAAAGATCCGAATGCGCCGCCCAAGAATTCGAGCGAGCGGGAGGTGGAGCTCATGAAGCGCCTGCGCAAGTTGGAGGGAATCGTCGAGGAGCTCAGTGGCCAGATTGAGGTCGAGAGCGGCACAGGGAGCAACAGTGGTCGCCAGAACTCGAGCACAGGCAATTCGCCCGAGGCTTTTGGTAACGACCTGAGCTCCGAACGCGCCGGTAGCACTTCCAGCGGCGCTGCTGTCATGAGTGCATTCAAGGAGGCCGTGACGCCCAACAGGATGGAGACGGACCCAGAACCCAAGAGGCCTGTAGAGAGGCAAACAGGCATAAGCAGGTCGTTTGGCCGGCTTGTGCTTCACGACAAGGGCAAGACGAGCAGATACGTGAGCAGCGCATTTTGGTCCAAGCTCAATGATGAAGTGAGTCACCCGAGTCAGGTTTTGTGCCAAGGTGCTGACAAGGATGCTATAGCTTGACGAGCTTCGAGAAGAGACGCATGCGTTGGATCAAGATACTGATGATTCAGATGTCGAGGACACGCCAGATCACTCTCCAATACAGGATACCGACGCCGCGACGGACCACCATGCCTTTATCCTGGGCTATCGGTCTTCCGATGTCGACTTGCGCAAGCTGCATCCCTTACCATCTCAGATACCCTTCATGTGGCAGGTGTACCAGGAGAATGTGGAACCGTTGCTCAAGATCTTGCATATCCCGACCATGGAGAAGCTCATCCGCGACATGCGACGCAATATCGACGAGCTGACTGCCGGTAACGAAGCGCTGCTGTTTTCCATTTACTATGCAGCAATCACATCCATGGAAGATGAAGAGGTAAGTCCATATCGTGTCAAAATCCATCGCACTTGACAGTGACTAACTAGTTCATAGGTGGAGAAGAACTTTGGGTCAAAGAAGGAAGAGATGCTCTCACAGTATCGCTTCGCCCTCGAGCAGGCACTCGCAAAGGCCAACTTCCTCAATACCTCCGACATGGTGGTCCTCCAGGCTTTTGTCATGTTCCTCACGCTCGTCCGCCGGGAGGACGATACCCGATTCTGCTGGACGCTGACTGGATTGGCGATCCGTATCGCACAAGGACTGGGCATCCACCGCGACGGAACAAACTTCAATCTTCCTCCGTTTGAGACCGAAATGAGACGTCGCTTGTGGTGGGCTATCTGCACCCTGGATCTTCGCTCCGCAGAAGAGCTTGGCAGCGATCTCACCATCATCGACCGATCGTTCGACACCGAACTGCCCTCTAATTTGAACGATTCAGATATTGAGCCGGGAATGACAGAGGTTCCCAAATCGCGCCTGGGCAAGACCGACTGCGCCGTATCGCTGGTGAGATACGAAATTTGCGCACTGTCACGGCGGTTACACACGGTGGGGTCAGCCATGGCTGGTGTCTGTCCCAAGGACGCAGCATCAAGTCTCGAGGAGCGCGAGCGCATGCTGATCGAAGTTTACGACCGTGTTGAGGAGAAGTTCCTCAAGCATTGCTTCACCGATGACGACCCCCTCTTCTGGATGGCGGCCATGATCGCCCGTGTTATCATGGCGAAGATGAGTCTTGTCATCTATCAACCGATGCTGTTCCCTGGCAACGGCCACGAACTATCCAACGAGATCCGCGACAGGCTCTTCATCTCAGCCATTGAAATCGTTGAATATAACTACATCCTTAACACAGATCCCCGCTGTAAGCAATGGCGGTGGCTTTTCCAGACCTACCGACAATGGCACGCGATTGCCTACATCCTCATGGAAGGCGGACGGCGGCCATGGTCAGCAACCTCGGAGCGAGGATGGGAAGCTGTCAACAACACGATGCGATTCGATAGAGACCCATCTGAAATTTCGAGGATGGCAGATCATATGGCTGTATGGGTCCCGTTGCGGAAGCTAAGCGCAAAGGCGACGAAGCATCGCGAGGCGGAGATTGTCCGTCTCAGAGCCGATCCGGAAGCGGCACGCCAACTGGACGTGGACGATCGTATGAACCCCATCCCTGCTAGACTTGGACCGGTGCCCGGAATGGAAATCAAGCACCTGCAAATTCGCACTCGCTGGCGGAACCTGGTACGGACGGATGGCGGTTCCAGCCCGCTACCACCACCGGCAAACAACGTCACGCAAAATCAACCCGTGCAGCAGCAGCAAAGCGTAGCACCCAGAGGTCCAGCTCCCCAGCCTGCGAACCCGACAGTCCAGGCTCCGACGCCCGCACCGCAGCAGAGGGAACCCGAGTTCATCGACACGGTGATGATGGCGCGCGGGTTCAATCCCAACCATATCTGGGAGTATCTCTACCCGACGGCGGAGTCCATGGCAGCCGACCCCAACAACACGCTCTTCCCGCCTAGCGCCTCGCAGCCGCAATCGTCCCAGTCCATGATGTCCTCGGCAGTGCCATCGCCCGCAATGTCAACTGGTCAGGGTCTTGATAACGATCAGCGGTTGAAGCAGCAGGCCATCGCGATGCAGTCCCAACCTACGGTGGCGTCGTCTCTAGGCGACAACCAGCCTCCTTGGCTGTGGTCTGACCCATTCACGTCCATCAACAATGTGCCTGCTGACTCCATGGACGTCAACATGGATAACTTGGATGACTTCAACTGGCAGAATTGGCAGGAGAGCATCAAAGGATTTGAGATGGATCCGGATAACATGCCCCAAAAGGGAGCATGGTAGAGATGTATGATGTTTGCGGTGTAGTATGTGCATGGGCTATTTTGGATATGGATTTTGGATGTCTCCTCTCACGCGAAGGCTCTTGGAGAGCTATGTAATGATACCCTACGGAAGCAGATGTAATGAATGATGATGTACTTTTCACCCTTGGTGCAGTGCTTCGCATCATTTACGACTGGCGATTATCGACCCCATACTTCATGGGTTTGCACCTCTCCGCCGTCACAGCATCCGCTTAAACTTCAACCCCGTCCGCCCACATCCACTCGACGCCGACCTAACCACCACCGCCATCTCCACGCCCTTGCCCTAAGAGCGGGCTTCTCGTCCACGACTTTCAACAATAACTTGGTCTGGTGGTGTAGTTGGTTATCACGTCAGTCTAACAGCTCGAGAGCCTCACCTCTCTCGTCTGCCACACTGAAGGTCTCCGGTTCAAGTCCGGGCTAGATCATCACATGGGCGATTGGTTTAGTGGTATAATGACCGCTTAGCATGCGGTAGGTCCTGGGTTCGATTCCCAGATCGTCCATCCTTTTTGAGGGATTCAAATATGGTTTGTTGTAGTGATGTTGTGGTTGGTGTTTTGAGGTTTTGGCTGTCTTTGGTGGTGATGCTAAGCGCCGAGTTGCGGCTACAAGGCGTGTGAGGGGCTCTCTTCTGTCAGCGGCTCTTTTCTTTCTTAATGCGCCCTATGTATCTTTAAGAATGTTAAAATCGGTTAAAGAGCCATTGTTACAGATTGCAAGTGTACTCTTACCCACAGCCTGGAGGCGAAGTACGAACGAAGTGTATTGATGGGGTGAGATGGTGTCACCTCCCAAGCGAGAACAAACACAGTTTGCCCAAGGCTGACCGGGCTGATTTTCCCAAGTGGCCCCGCAAACTGCAGCTATGCGACCAAGCCGATCAATACTTTTTTACCCTTTACCAACGACCTTTGCCCTCCTTTCACCGGCCCAACAGAGTGCGACCAACGCGAACAGAGTCCCTTGTCCAACAAAGAGGAAGTGAATACATTTGCCGTCCTGAATGCGCTGAATAGGTCTCGAGCCGAACAAAGAGCGAAGCGAGTGAAGGGAGCGTTTGGGTCTGGTATATGAGTCAACCTCTACCCTGGTGAATTACCATTCAATCCATCAATTTAAGTCAGACCTTGGGACTTCAGCACCGCGACGCTTGCAATCAAGAGATTTACAATTCTCGTTTGAGGCTTTGAGGAAGGCTTGCACTGTGAATCCTACCTGTGCACTTCTTTTCTAGCCTTGGAAAGATCGTAGGGCAAATATGGCGTCACCACCTTTACACGACGACTCTCAATTCCACCACATCCGCTCAGGCGTCACAGCCATCATCGAGCGGCATGGGAAAGTTATCATCGGAAAGCGCAAAGCCAGTCACGGTATAGGTAGGATTCAACCCCCCCAGCCCTCGTCACTGGAAGAACATGTTGCTGTCAGCCCTCAAGATGCGTCCGCGTTCCTTACAAGGCCTTTCGATATTGTTGTCATCCAGCCGCTTCGGTCATCATACTGACTGATTTCGCCATTGAATAGGCACAATGCACATGCCTGGAGGCCACCAAGACATGTGGGAGGCTCCCGAGGCGTGCGCGGAACGAGAGACGTTCGAGGAGACCGGTCTTATTGTGAAAGCCATCGCGCACGGGCCGACCACTGATGATCAATTTTTGAAGGAAAGGAAGCATTATAAGTCGCTTCATATATGGTGCAAGATGGTTGATGAGACTGCTGAGCCAGAGGTGAGTGAAAGAACCCCCGCAACCCCGCCATTCGTTTCTCCGGGTTTGGGAGTGAGCGAGGGCGACGTTGGATGCTCGAGATAAATCGAGGAAATAGCGGTTCTGACATCAGATTGAAACAGGCAATGGAGAAGGACAAGTGTGACGCTTGGGCGTGGAAGTCGGCGGAGGAGCTGGAGGAGTATTATGACCAAGGCAAGGCGTTTGAGCCATTGAGAAATCTGGTCAGGAAGGTTCCTCAGAATGATGTTCTTGAGGAGCTCAGGAAGCGTGCGAATGCTCATAAGGAAGCCGTTGAGCTAGCTGAGAAGGCTAAGCTCGCTGAGCAGGCTAAGGTTGACAAGCAGACCAAGGTTGACGAGCAGACCAAGGTCGATGAGCAGGCTACAGACGTAGAAGTAGACCATACGCACCAGAGCGTCTAGACCGCACATTAAACATCAGGGCCGAGGCATTTAGAGGTCTAGGACGTTAGCATTCGCTCTTACGTCACTGAAGTACCGCGATTCCATCGTAAGAAGAAAAAAAAAATAGAAGAGTCTGTACACACCGAAAGATTCGAGCAAATAGGCGTAGAGTTTGCGAGAGCCGGTGATAAAAGTCGCAACATAGGCGGGTCTGAATCCGCGGTGTCATGCATGATTTGCTCTTTCGGATATCTCGCACTTTCACCAAAATATCCACAGGCACTTGTATCCGTAGTCGGGCCGACGGGGTTACCTCAAATCACGAACGACCTTGTACGGAATGGTGCTTGCAGATCTCACTGGGGCAGAAGATGAGCAGAGACGCAATTACGGCTTCGAGATTCAAGCTTTGGGTGGTTGAGAAGTGGTTAGACTGAGCCCGGAGCCGGGCCATTGGGAACCAAAGTCCCTTTTCAAGCACCTTCCTGCGCTGCTGCGCGTGGCAATCGGGGATGGCTTGGGCCACTGCGGGCGAGAACTTTGGGAGATGGAGTTGGGCTGATCCCCTGGATTGACGGAAAGGCTCGATGACGTCCCAATTGTTGTTACTATGTTTGAGTGAGCGATGGAAGTGATGATGCGATGCGGAAGATGTTACCGCCCCCAAGGTCTGTAATATTGATTCCCAAAGGAGGAGTCGAGACATTGATCAAACTAACTGGCAGTCAGTCTAGAGAGCAGAGGCCGACAGTGGACATGGACTGAGCAAGGGTAGAACCGCGGCAGCCCGGTACATCGTTCGCAAAATTCACAACTCGTAGCCCCGAATTGTCGAAATAAGAATAAAATATCCGTACTCTTTAGAGTTCAGTTTTGGCCCCGAAGAGCTCCGGAAGTACGGGCCCTACGGAGCACGGATACGGACAATTCAGCGAGTCTCGAGTCTCAGCGGCGGCCGACCCCTGTCCTCTTCTGACGGAGGCTGCAGCCGAGATTTGTCAATTCGAAATTTGGCTGTCACTTTACCGGGGGCTGGGGCTGCAATCCTTCTGCCTGGAGGATTTGCTTCAGGCCTTCCAGGTGGCTCCATCTTGAACACGACGTCAACTCCACGCTGGGAGAGAGTTCTGAGTAGGAAGTGAGGGGATGCTTCTTCGTGTTAGCGTTGTTGGCTGTTGCCTTGGTAGACAAGTGTCGACATCTGTTTAAGCATGTCGGATGTGAACTCCGTTGAACGGTGAACTCGCTGGGGTTTACAGGGTTGGCTTCCATCGTTCAGGTCTGTCGCGTGGTTTCTGAGGAATGGACTGCTGGGTTCTCGTATGTGATTACAAATCCATCATTTTTGGTATTTGAACTTCCCGAGCACCTGGAATCAATACATCTTCCGATCTGATGGGTTGGAGAGGAGGTCTCGTTGGCCGCGAGCAACTCGACCTCAAAGCTGGCGATGAAACTCTGTAATATGCTGTGATTGACCAGTTTGCCGCGCAGACTGCGTTGGCAGCCGGGCCGCTTATAGCGAGTGCCTCAAGCGGCAATTTCTCAGCGATCAGTGGCTTAGACTAGGCCAGGGCTTCCCCTTCGGAAGTATGAGCTTGGCGGCTGCAGTTATATCTTCCTGCAGCCCTGATACGAGTTTATCTAAAGCATGAGTTGATGAGGCCGTTCCTGCACAAGGTGGTATGGTGCCATTGGCAGCTCAGCTCTACTGCGACTGTGTCAGTGAGGGACTGAGAGCCAGGGAGTGAGAGGCAGAGTTTCAAATCTCACTTGCATCTCGCAGGCCCTGCCATCTCAACCTCCCCAAGTGCACGGCCGCTGGCAGAGTTATTCGACCGCCTTAATGGGCTGCCTAGGCCTTCTAGGTCATCTTCTTGTCGCCCTGCAGCACCCCTGGTTAGCGGGCGCAACAGCGCCAAGGATCATGACCCTGCCCGTTGGACACCATCTCGTTGCCTACGAGCCTTGATGGGGGTACCCATTACAGCTTGCGGCTTTCGATGCTGCTATTCCCTTTGGGGAAGTGTCTTTCGAGATGGAGTGCTCGATTCGAGTAAAGAGAAAACCAAAGTCCCTATTCCCATGCCCAAGAGCGTCAGCGATGCTGCCCGCTCGTAGCGGGACGGGCAAGGGTGAGGAACATGGTTTGGTTCTTGCTTTCTCACAACCGTCGATCATTCATCACGTTCTTGGAGGATCACTTGTCCTGTGCGTCTCCCCTGCTCCTGAAGGTTGGCGAAGGGCTTGAAGAATGGGCCAGGGCTTGAATAATCTGCTTGCAGCTGGTCCTCCTCTTCTGGGTGTTGTCAGTGTATATCTTGGCTACCACCCCTCCGAACCGGCTCGATATGTGGTCCTTTAGAATTTTTGCCTTTCGAGTTCATCCCCTTTCATCAAGTAGTCACGGTCAACTTGGCACTCTTGATCTCAGTCGTTACTTAATACCCGAAGCATCTATCCATCGAGTTGATTAGTGGTGGACATAGGCGAGGGGCGTATCACATCATCCGTATCAACAATGCCATCAAGTTCACCGGAAAGACACTTGGTCGCACCGGACAACAGCAACATCGCTTCCAGACAGGCATCCCAAGACTCCGACCGCGAAGTGAAATACCAAACAGGATTGATGCCCGCGGAATATGCCGGCCTCGAGGTGGCCTCGCCCTCACCGGGTATGAAGTACTACCAGCCTGCGTCGGGCGCCGCCCCTGAACCAGTACCGGCACCCGCGCCGGGCGGATACGCGCCGTACCAAGATCAAGATCAGCACAACGGCTCCGGGTACGAAAGCCATCAGTACCCCGCACACTCAACGGCCGGGACGGGGTACGGCGGAAGCCAGGCGGGGATGCCGCCGAAGAAGAATAAGAGGATATGGGGTATCCCAGTGGCGACGTTTTGGGTAGCCATCGTCGCGCTGGTATTCTTTCTGGGGACGATTGGGGCGTCTGCTGCGGCGGGAACGATCGCACAGGCGCATGCAGCGTATGTGCAGACGTGCCAAGCGTAAGTGAACATGAGCAGCCAAATTTGGAAGCAACAGAGTCTGACGCCAGAGCAGCAAACTCGCGCAATCATCATCACCATCAGCGTGCGCTTCGAGCGGATCATCAGCAGCATCCGCATCCGCATCAGCCTCAGGAGCCTCAGCGCTCTCAGCATCCGCCTCGGCAACAGCATCATCAGCATCCTCCACTTCAACCTCACTCGCCTATATCCCGCTCCCAGGCCAAGCCTCCTCAATCCTAGGCGAAGCGACGACAAACTGCCCCGACCTCAGCTCAGAGAACAAGACGTACACGGTGCCGAACTCGAATCTGCGCTTCGTGCGCGAGTGCGGCAACAATTACCCGATGAACGACCTGGGCCACATCCCGCTGACGAGGATGGAGGATTGCATGAACCTGTGCGCGGCGCTCGCTGTCACGACGCAGAGCGCTGATGGGCCTTGTGTGGGTGTGGCGTGGGTTACGGCGGGGAAGCAGGGGACGGATGAGAATTATTGCTGGTTGAAGAGTGCCAAGGGGGCGCCGGATCCGAAGGCGAATATTGAAGCTGCGTGGCTTGTGAGGACGTGAGAGAGGTGTGAGGCGATGATGAGTTAGAGTTGTGAGTGAGATGAGTGAAAAATGATGAGATAAGATGAGATGAGATGGGACACTTCTGAGCGGCGGTGTCGTTCGCATACTCTAATACCACGATTATCATGTTTACGTTTGCTGATTAATCTTCTTATGATAATATCAATGAAATTCAATATTGGACACTTGGAACAGGATAGGCTGAGTTGGGCAGATGCTTCCAAGCCTATAGATTTCACGACGTCACCCGATAATACCTTGACCGAGCTTGGGAAGATGGCGGCTGCATTTCAGCGTGTATAGGCTGGGCGAAGTTGGAGTTCCTTTGAATTTGATGTGACGACCTGACATTGCGCTCATAGCAAAAACACAGCTTCAGTCTTCCGCAATCCATTCTGAGCCCAGAGAGGACCGCTTGTGAAGACATCTTGGATGTACCGGTATTCTTCCTTGCCACTTGGGACGAGTGGCCGAGCCCTACTCCATAATACATAGTCTCCCGCAGTGGGTTTGGCGTTGTTTTCATCTGGTCGCACGGTGAATGAAGGGAGAGAGAGCACGGTTAATTAAGGTTGCTGTCAGGGGATCATCAGGGGGGAAGGGTGACCTCACCAGACGCGTCCATCCTTGTCGATGTTTAAGGTAGTTGGCGACGCGACTCTACTTTCCATTATTACCTACCTTAAATTCAACGAGCATTTCATCATCAACACCATCGATACAAATCTGGCCTAAAAATCCTGCCACTTCGCAAATTCTTTGAGTCATACACCTGATCTTCGAACTGTCAAACACCCAGCCAACCCCTGTCGGCATCTTCACGACGCATGCGCGCTCACCTGCTGTGGCAACTTATCGTGGGGCCACGCCACTGAAGCTCCCATCACTTTGCCACATCCCCTTGATTTCAACAACTTTCATCACCAAAGCTGGCCACCAAGCTCGATATATGATTTGTCTATCTCTCATACGACTTGAGCAGTATCGATAATCGCCTCTCTACGTACTTATTGCTACTCAATCGTCGAGCTGCCCAAACTACAAGTGCCCGCCCTCCCCGAAGCGCCACTCAAGCAACATCGCGCTACCACACCTTTGTGCATATTCAGAGACTCGCAAGGTCTCTGCGCTTGGTTCACGATGGCTTCCAAGAAACCCGGCAAGAGGGCTCGCGAGGCCAACCGCAATGGTCAAAACTCGAGCGGCGGCCAGGGTAAAGGTAGCGGCCAGGGTGTCACTAAAAGCAAGGGCAAGAGCCGACGAAATGGAAAGGGACAAAGCGGTGAAAGCTTGCTCCAGTGTTTTGAGCGCCATTCACGCTTCGTAGAATCCTTGTCCAAACCAGACGCCGTTCCCCAAACGTCTGATCGTGAATTCAGGACATATGAGAACGATCGGAATAGGTTGGCCAAACTGGCAAAGTCTCCGGAGGGACTTGAATATTGGCTAGCCGAGGAGAGACGGAAAGAAGAGGAAGCGAAGAAAAAGAATTCACAGAAAATGAAGAAGGAGGCCGAGCAACAGGCTAAGAATTCGCGAACACAAGATGAGAGAGAATACGCGCAGCTTGTTCATCAGTGGCACTCGACGGAGTCCGAACGTGGCGTGTCCGCGTTCCAAAAGTGTCTCAACCTCGACCAACAAGCAGTCGATTCAGCATCTCTACCTACACACTCGCTTGAGACCCCCGTGTGTTTCTCGCTCTGGTCGGCCAACATGTGCCAGAACTGGGGCCATGTCGACATCCCCAACGGCATTCTCTGTCTCGAAAGCGACCATCTTGCCACGTTCCAAGCTGGCGGGCAGATGTGTAGAGGCACCATCATTTGGAATAAGCGGCCTCTGAAGATCATGACGTTGCCTTTTCCATATCCGGACGTGGCATATCCCCCAAAGTCGCAGAAACTGTTTTCTCTTGCTTGCGCGAACGGCGCGGCTCTGGGCGGAATCCGCTATGAGCACTGTACATCATACATCTGTATTTACGACAGGGAACGATTGAGGTTGACCCTGCACAGGGAACTCATCAACCCGTCTGGCTTCACCAGCAGATGGAAGAATCCTCATCATTTCACCACGGAATGGGTCGATATCTGGGGTGTAAGGATAGAGGCAGGCCAGGTCCAGAGCGCCCTGTCAGCCACCCCTAGCCTTTCCAGGGGTCAACCCTTTGAACCATTGGAAAACGAAAATAACCTTCCGTCCGGCAGCACCGGCCTTCGAGACGTGAAAATGGAGCACTTCGAAGAAGATCAAGTTCATGTTGGCGAAGAGGACCAGGTTCTTGTTAAAGATGAAGACCAGACTCTCGTTGCCGAAGAAAACAATGTTTCATTCCATGACGTAGATCATGTCCCTGTTGGCAGAGGGGACCAGGTTCTCGTTAACGGGGAAGACCACATTTCATCCCATGAAGAAAATCATGTTCTTATTGATGAAGAAAGGGAGCAAGGGGAGGAAGAGCAGGAGGAAGGGTATGAAGAGGACAGCCATGAAGAAGCTTATCAAGAGGGCTATGAAGAAGATTATGAAGAGGAAGATTACGAAGAAGAAGACTACGAAGAAGATGATTGCGAAGAAGACGAGGATGACCCACATGCGGAAGAGACTGATTCAGAATACGGGAATGAGCCGTACGATCTCAACGATATGGAATCTTGCCTCAAGCTATCGCCAATACGCTCTTGGCGAGGAATAATTCTACCTACAGATGATGACAGGTCTCGAGAAGACACGCCTCCGCCTCTGCGCTTTACTCAACCTAGCCCTGAAGAGCAAGAGGCAATTCTGAATGGACGTCCGGTAGAGCTTTGGTATGTGGGCGGGGCTCTTGACGAGGCGAAGGAGTATCGACACTCCGACCTTAGTTTTCGGGCAGACTGGCTGCAGAAGGAGCTCGACAGGAGGTGGTCTATTTACAACGCCGAGGTCCAAACATTTGAAACGGATATTGCGCTTCGCTACAAGCTACATGAGGAAATGAAGGCCAGAGTCGTCCAAGAAGACCAGGCGATAACAGCGGCCCGGGAGGGATTGAGTTCCGCTTCGTTTCCGTCGTTCGATCTCCCTACTATATACACCGGGGACAAGTACCAGGGCAGCCGATGGAGACTTTATTCGCCCGAATTCTTGAGGACCTACTCCGACCCATTCATGGAGTGCGATTCTAATAACTACTTCATCATAAGTAGAGAGGACGACCGACCAGACCGTGCGAGCTCTTGTCACGCCTCCATCCACCTCACTTGCCGCGAAGTCCGAATAGACCTGTGCCCCGAAAGGTGGCCCAGAACAGCAAAGGGCTTCAACAAGCCATTCTTCGCTACTGTGTCAGAAGTTGTCTTTGATGACTACGCCAACGAGGACTGCCACCTCATACTCAACCCTCGTTCGAGGGTAGCGGTGGCACTCGTGACCTCGGAGTTGATCAAGGTATCAGTACAAAGCAGTATCATCAACCCCCCAGAGCATAGGGACAAGTGGGAGCCTCGCGAGAACTTTGACGGACAAGTTCCAACCGTTTTCGAGTTCTACGGGGTACTGGATAGGGGGAGTGATAGAGTGTATGACGCGGATGATTGTGAAACAGTCACGCGTTTTTGGAGGTCGAGGGCTAGACGAGATAGACAAGCGTTCGATGGGAAGGACAGAAAAGTTGATGTCGAGACTGAAGTGGACAGTACAGAGCCAAGTTATCCACCTCGAGTCGTGCTCTGGCCGCGTGCGGACTCGCCATTGTGGAGATTGGGAGGCAGTAGATTAGACTTTCATTAGCTGTTCGCCATGACAGTGGCATACTACAAGTGTCGTAACAATCAAATTGAGTAGTGTTTTCTCAGTAGCATCATTACCTTGCGATGTCTAGTTGCTGGAGGTAATCTGGCTCCGCAGCCAAATGGACAAGAAAATTGGGGGCAAACCGACCGATTCCGTTACCATCAACGATGTCACCAGAATCTTTCTAGGTTTCTTCAAAACGAATAAATACCTTTCAGTTGCAGTCGGTTGCAAATGTGACAATCCCTCGCAGGACTTCGAGAATCTGTGATCCGCTGTCACTGTCGACGGCTGATCAGGAGGACCACCGCTCGAGTTCATCTTGTGAAAAGTTCATCACTAGGCGATCAGGACATGAAGAGATATGTGCTTGATTGACCTGCAAATCCTGCAGTTATACAAGTATTTACAGCTCGAACAGAACCCTTGACTCCGAGACATCCAGTCCGAATCCAAAGGACCAGTCCAAAAGCGTGATATACAGAGAAGAATAAGATACACAGACATTGGAGTCCTAGCGACCAAGTCAAACCCGCCTCCCTGAATTTTCTTCACCGTGAACAACAACCAAAGAATCCATTTAGCAGCCAGACGTCTTGACATCAGTCTGCACGCAGATCTTCGGATCATCAGCCGCATTACCAGGCTCGCCACCGCCAGTGACGCCCTTTGAGTTCTTGCACACCGTGGCACCGCCAATGACGCAAGCGCCGTTGATAGTAACCTTGTCACCGAGATTGCCGTTGTAGTGAGCCACCGTCTTGCCGCCGTCGACGTAGATGTTGTTGAAGATCGCAGTGCGAGCAGTCTGCTCTTTGCAGTTACCGCACGAGCGCCAGAACTGGCCGACGTTCTTGGCGTAAAAGTCAGAGACCTCAACCGTGCCGCCGCCGTTGTGCTGGAAGAGCTTATCGGGGGCGTCGCGGGCACCGCCACCCTTGACCGTGGAGGTACCGCTGGTTTGGCGGAAGGTAGCGCCGTCTTCGCAGACCTTATCCCACCACCTATTTCTCATGTGTTAGTCTGTGGCACTGGGTCAAGATTTCGTTGGAGGTAAGGTGATGACTTACACGTTGACGAGGTTGCAGCTGCCCTGGCACTGAATACCCTCTCCAGCACCAGCTCCGATGATGACGTTGCTGAGCGTGGCGCCGTCGGCCAAGATGAAGGCGGCGTCCTTCTGTCCGCCCTCGCTGCCCGTGCAGGTACTAGGGACACGG